TCATGAAACAATTTATTGGCGCATAAAGTAGTAAGAGCTAAAAATTTAGTTTCCTTAAATGAAAAGCTGTTCTTATTTATTTTGGAGCTTATATAAATTTTTCTTCAGGGGTTTGTTTGATTATTGTTATGGTAGCTCATCATCATCAGGCTGAGTGCACCTTGCTGTAAACATTTAATTGTCCCAAAAACTACTCACCAATAAGGTTTTGGTGGACTCTTGGAATATTTTTGTGTATAGCTTCAAGATTTCTGGATGAAAAGCTGGAGTTAAAAGCTTCCCCATTTGCTGCCATTGTTTTCCATTCACAATGGTGAGACTGTTTCCTATTAGCAGAAATTATTTGAAGTTGTCTCATGTAATAAATTTCAAGTCAGGGAGTGATGTGTTCATATTTTACATTTGACCAGCCCTTTTACACAGAAACTGTCTCCACTGCCCAAATTATTAGGCCAAAACTTACTGCTAAAATCCACGCAATTGTAATTCACCCCAATAAAATATGTAAGTGATACTGTCGAATTAATGAGCCTTGTCCCTGCATTCATAAGATGTACAACATACCCCTCCCAACCCTACTCCCATGAGTGATCAAGACAGAATTTCTCCTTGTAATATCAATACAATATCAACCAGGTAAGTGATGAGAATAAAGAAAATATCAATTTGGGGATGAGTTGATCCAATACTAAATTCTCTGAACTAACATAGGAATTGTATGGTTGACAATAAGGAGAAGTACATATTTGATCTGGGAGTTAAAGGGTTAAAATGATATATCCTTGCTCTCATTGGGATCAGAGTATACCTGTAACTGTGCATAGAAGTAAGGATTATGATGACAATGCTTAAAATGGCCATCATAATTATGACAAGGATTAACTTAGTGCCAGCCACTTCATAAGACAAAACAATAATTACACACCCTTCTGGCACTGAAATGAATTTTAACCCCAGCTTTATGGCAATAGATATCCAAAAAGGTTGATTGTAACTGGAACCGGAAAACAATAAATAAAAGGAAGAGGAATTTCTGACACTCCTGAAATAGATGCTTCAGCAGTGCTCACTTAATTGATCCCTGCCACCAACTTTGAACCTCTACCACACTCATTGAACTTCTACTCTCCCTTCCATTCCAGTGCCTGTCTTTCCAAAAATTACAGATTAACTCCTTTTTATATATCTGACACGTGGATAAAGACATTTTCAAACATTTTTGTGTCAAGAGACTTATTTATTCAACTTTCAACATCCCTCAAGTTAGGAACATACAGCAAGCTAATTTATTCAAAATCCTTTCCTAGGGAAATGAAAATTACATCCAACAAGTACAATTTTTCTCCAAGAAGCCATTCTCTTCAAAGTTACAGTTATTGCAGGTTTATTTGCATGTAAAATATGTGAAATACACTCTTAAAATAACATATGAAAGGAAATAGGTCTGACTTACAGAGACTGATTAATTTAATGATTGTTAAAAATTCTATTTTATGAAGCTGCACATTGTAGAAGATGGACTGTGCCTTTTGTCTCTTTAATGTTTACAAGAACTTCACTTTTATATGTCCTTACTAGTGAATGGTACAACTAGACTGTGCACAAATTCCTCCTTTGGGGTATGACTGGAGAGGACAGTCTTGATAGACTTTGGGTGACAAAGGACAAGTGCTGATCACAGGGGGCCAAACCACAGTGGGTAGGCTGTCCTATATTTTGTAGCACATTCTACATGGAATTTTAAACCACTGCGATCAAAGGTTGCTTGAAATATATATAATTGCAACATTCTTTATTTTCTTATCTCGATATTTGGTATGGTGTTTATTCTCCAATTTTTTGGCACCATGAAGGTCAAGGAGAAGAGGGTTTTGGACTTGGAATAAACTTCAAATTGTTGAAATGGGAAGGTCATTATTAAAGGTGAATTCTTTATGAAATTTTCCCCTATAAGAAATAATATATTTCATAATGTCCTCATTCCTCTAATATTTTTGTTTTCAGCTGCTTGTGTTTTAAAACATCTCAGAAGGCTATTAATTATACTGACCGACACGTGATCTTCTTTGGGACTCCACAGCAGTACTAAGTGGGTGTTTTATAGGTATCTTTCAACCATGTTGCCTAATTTCCAATACTCTACCAAGGTCCTAAAAATTTGGCATTTTCTCCCAATATTGGTCACTGGTTTGACTAGCTTTTTCACTTTTAAAAGAAAGATCATTGATTTTTTAATGAAATGAGTCTGAATTGGCTAAGCCACACATACACATCCACAACATCTTGACTACTGAGGTGGCCTCCGCTATAAGCCTGGTGGTTTCTTGGAGGTCTCCTCGCCCAACCATACTGTTAAACCTGTATAAATATTATATCTTAAGTGGCTCGTAAATAAATGATGATGATGATGGTGATGGTGATAATGTGTCCAATCCCACTTAAGAAATGCCAATATGTTTTTCCAAAAATTTATTTTTTACGTGCCATTTTAACGAACACCTTCACCACATGTACCCTGGTCTGTGTATGAAGGTCTTAGATCATAGCCTCACAGAGTCCCATATACCCACTAATGTCTCTCACAAGATTTTCCCAAAGCTTAACCAGGAGTTTAATTTTGTAAATGTTTGTGACGTGGCATTAATACATAGAATGCCTCAGGGAAAATGAATTATTAATTAATTAGTTAGATGCTTTTATGTATTTTTGGGATAAAGTTAACCAAAGTATTTAAGCTCTCGATATTTCAATCAACCACTTTTTAACTCATAGAGTAATGAAGTGCAATTTCTCTGTGATTCAATTATTTAAAGAACATTAAAAAAGGAATTGCTTTCAGGTTTGAGTGTTATTGACCTTGATTAATTGGCATAATTCATAGCCTCTATTTGTAGTCATGGGTCTAAATGTGGTGAGAATGTGGTTCAGCACGTCGCTAAAAATCTCATTATAATATCATCGCTTTTCCCATCTCTATCGAAAATACTATTTTTCTCATTGACAGGATCAAATAACTCGGTTATATGGCCCACTTCGGATATGCCAAACGCATCATGTTAAGTGGATTGTTTCAAGTTGGTTCCTAAGTACTGTTCTCAAATGTTAACGTTAAGATGATACAGGCTTTATTAGTGATGTAATGACCGAGCCGTTGAGTTTCACCATTTCGCGGTCGTGAAATGGTTCCCAGTTTAAGGCACACGTCACAGAGGTATGCCTCTGTTTGGCTACACCTGTTTAGGGACCTTTTTTGCAGGGGAAGCGCGTGCATTTTCTTGTTCAACTTCATAAATAACCACAATTTTCTACTTCCTGTAGAAAGCCGTGACATAGAGTTGACACGCAAGCCTGGTCACAGATTAAGTTGAATTTTTACATCATTTACAAGTTCGTCATTGCGACATTTTAGTAATTATCTGGCTTATCTTGAGAAAATAAGTTTCAAGAAAATACGTTGATAAAATAATTTAATTTCTAGTTTCCGAGAAAGCAAGATGCATAATTAACTTTACCAAAAACATTTCGAAGTGTATGCGACATTCGCATCACCCGTCTCAACGGAAACTTACCACTTATCATGTCAACGTCGCACCGGATGCTGTCTAAGAGTATTGACAATCAGCTGCCTCGAAAGACAAAACAACGAAATGAATGGTAAATTCCGTGGTGTAAAGGAACTTCATGAACTAGAATCTTACAAAGTGTCTGTTTGAGAGTGTAATAAATTACCTAAGCCTCCGTCAAGTTCTCTCTCGTCCACAAAAACCTGAACTACTATGTAATCGGATGACAACAAGCTGATTTGCGCCTAGTAAGGGTGATAGGATGTTTCGTTTTGATGAGGTTAACAACATCCGTTCTGTTAGCTTTAATCCAGAACATATCACTTCCGCTATTTAGGCCAAAGCTGTTATCACTTTTTCCTTTTGTTTAAAGAGTACCAAAAAATGAAAACTAGCCTTGAAGGGGATAGAGCTTACTTACCCAAGCTTTTCACGGTAAAATTCGTGTACCTATCGTCCTACACTTTAGACTGAAAGTTTCAGCCATTTGTGCTCTAATCAGACTTACTCAAGAATTGACACTGTTCAACCAAATTAACTTAAAATCAGCATTCCCTGGCGTCTTTGAGAAAATACATTTTTTCCCGTCAAACATGTTTAAAAGAAACAAACTTAGGGGCCTGTTTACATGGATGTGGGGGACCCCAGGTAGGTGAGGTAACCCGCTTAGCCGTGGTCGAAAAATAGCCCGCGTTTACATACAACCTTACAACTCCGGGATGCCGGGCGGGTGAAGTTTCTTGAAGTTGTTATTGCACCTGTAATTAAGGAGGTTAAGATGTCACAGCGACGCGTGGGAAAACGTTGCCGAAAAAACGTAATTTATTTTCCTTTAAGATTTCCGCCAATAGCTCGATGCGTTAACGGTTCCTGACGATACAACATCCTCACTTCGGCATAAGATATGAATGTAGTTGTTGAGGTCGAAGTAAAAACGTAACTAAATCGCTGTCGAAGTTTCATTGCTAGGAAGACGTAGAAAAATGGTGTTTGAACGTTTTAACTCTGCACGGGACGGGTTGGAAATGTAGAAAGTTTTAGCACACTCGTGTTTCGCTATTGTTTTGTTCATTTGATCGTTTTGTAACGTGAACGCCATCCCGGATAGGCGGGTTACCCCACCTTGAGAGGTTTACGTGGCAAATTGTCACCCCGGCTGACAGGGTTACCCTACCCGGCAGACCGGGTAGCCCGCCCAGGCGAGTCACCCCACCTATCATGTAAACGTCAACATGATGAAAAAAGAGATTATATGGACACGCTGGTTACCGCACCTCAGCGGGTTACCTCACCTACCTGGGTCCCCCACCTCCATGTAAACAGGCCTTTACTTTCGCATAAATTATTCAAAATGACTAATTAAAAATTCGAACAGTCACCTGACCTCTCTTTAGACACGATAGCAAAATCAAAACCATTGACGAAAATTGTTCATTTCCTATATGACATGCACACAGGATAGGAGTCTTACACTTCTTTCGCCCGCTACACTTTAACTTCGTTCTTTATAGTTAAGGTAAGACGATATGTTTCTATGCTTAAAGAGTTTTTTCCCTTTGCGACAGTTTCTAATTTTCGAGCAGCGACGAAGGCCAAATTCACTTTCGCTTACATAAAATTTGGGAGCATAGGCTCATTTGCTAAACGTGATTGTTGCCGAGATAAGATGAAAAGAATTATAAACTGCTCTATCGATGTATCAGATATTTTTTCGAGTACATATTGGCTGTTCTTTGATTCAATTTCGCATACTGCATCGCAAACACTCGATCAGTAACGCGAACAGTTTTATGCCACTCTGACTAGCTGCTTAAAAACTCGTCTTCATGGACAAAGCCGATTGTTACGAGACCTTTACTGACTTTCAATTTCTAGCGTGCAGTGGATTACATATTCTCATTTCCAAAAGCACAGACCTTCGGTTGAAAATTATCGAGTGAAGATTACCGTGTGACTACCATGTTTTCAGGAGGTCAGTGACTTGACGCTACAAAAATTGGTTAAACGTCTTCCTCTTTTGGGTCGAAGAAATACTAAATGAGGGAAGTTGGTTTGGAAGGGGATGAGATGTACTCTCTGCACTTTTGGAGAAAGCATCGGCTCCTCTCTCGTACCCCTCAGGCGATCACAATAGTCTGACAAATTTGAATACTTAACCAAAAAAATTAGAAAACGACGTTCCATGGGGCTGAAAGAATAACTTTTTGAACACAGATGAGAAAGAGAATATGTTTGGCCGAGAAGCTTAATTGAGTTTTTTTCAGAGAGCTTTGAAAGGTATCCTTTTCGGGAAAATATATAATTGCAAAACATATTTACATTTTACAATCTTGAACTTGCGTGACTTAATAAGACTCCTAATTAGCAACCGCTGCGTAAAATGACGTCATCCCAACTGTTACCTGACCTTACTTTTCAAGAGAAATGTCCTATTATTTAATTTTGTACGCTGTTGGGCAGAAACTGGAGCAGCATGACGCATAAGTTGATAAGTCTCAAATCGAAGTGCCCATCATATATTTTTTTATAACGCTTTCTTCTGAAGGGTCTTGATAGTAGCAGGCAAGTCTAGAGTCTGAGGAAAACGACAAAACTTTTATGTGAAACTTCAGTCATCTTCAGTTAATTAATGCACGAAAAGTTGGAAGTTGAATTTACAATAAATAGAAAAATGCTCATGACAATAAAGTGTGACAACAAGAAAGAGGCGAAGCATGAAAGTGTCAGAATTAAAAGGATAGTTTTCGATTAACATGATGTAATTGTTGATTCAAAGAGGGTCGCTCTCTTTCAATATGAATAGCCTCTTTTATCTTTGGTTGAAAACCGGTAGAAGCGTGATCCAAAACATAGAAGTTATCTGCTGAACACAAAGCGCGACAATATTCAGAATCTTGCAGATGTTTGAAAATGTGGGAGGCCCTGTCACTGGCTAAGTGCTCTGAGGCATCATAAAAAACTTTGGCTGAAAATTTTCATGGCTCTACAATTTTATTTTTTCGCCGGTATGTTGATGATACGTTTTGTTTATTTCACTCAGAGCACGATGTTACTATATGTTTCGACTACATCAACTCTAGGCACCCCAGCATCAGGTTTATTAAGGAAAAGCAGGTTAATCACAAACTACCCTTTTTAGATGTCTTGATTGATAACAATGACCCCAATTCTTCTCTTCTTTCCCTCCTTATTTAATCGAAAAGGTTACAAACCGTTACATCACTAGAACCCAAAGCAATCATCATCCCGGGGTTCCCTTCTCACCACTTCACCTACGTTTTACTTTAAGCTACCCTACATAGGCCATTTTTCTGCTATCACTCAAAAAAAGATCCGCCATTTTATTAAGCGCTATTGCAATGACTTAGATAGCAAGCTCATTTTCTCTTCTTTCAAGATTGGTAACTTGTTTGGTATGAAAGACCCTTTCCCTGACGGGCTCCGTTCGCGTATAGTTTATTAGTTTGTGCGTGCTGGCTGTATGCCTGTTATGTCGGAGAGCACTTAGTCAGTGACAGGGCCTCCTACATTTTCAAATATCTGCAAGATTCTGAACATTGTCGCACTTTGTGTTCAGCAGATGAACCCCCTAAAAAATTGTTTTCAAATGCATTGGAACCAATCGACAAGGCGACATTTTTTTTTATTACCCCCTCCCCCCCCTTAAAAAAATATATTTCTGCTGTAACACTCAGTCGCCCCGTTGTTCATTTGTGTTTAAACTTTTCCTTGAACTTGAAGTGATGACACGAACTGCTAAAAAAAAACATAGAAAACGACCTCACAATATCGATAACTGTCAAACTGCAAATTACGAGCTTAAAAAAACGACTGTGTGAATTATTTTACGACTGACGTATAAAAAACTCTTTAGCTTTAGTTCTATGTTATTTTTTTAAACGGAATCCATAGGTTCACTACTTATGTTTAAATCTTTGCAGTCAAACCCTTGAATACAGGGGGTCTGAATTGCAATTAAATGTTAACTCCCATTTGTGTTTTCCTTTTGGTTGCATTTCAACTGGTTCTGTTTTCTTGCGCGAAGTCGGTTAGCGCTATATCTGTGACTCTGATTCCTCGTAATTTGTTGTTGTTGTTGTTGTAGGCGGTGTTAAAGAAGATTTATTAACTTGCGAAAACTGTCAGTGTACCATAGACTATGAATTTTTTGGCAAAGGAGATCGAAAAAGTGTACTGTGGCTTTTTAAAAAAAGGCCCGGTCTAAGTGACAGAAGGATGTTGGACTACTGTAGGGCTACTATTTGATGAGTCTTCGTTATTTTCAAGGCATGGAGCAAGTAGGAAGTGGTGCGAGACAAAAGAGAAGAGATGCCAAGCCATTTTATGTAAATGTTACTGTGATAAGGAATTGTGATTTTACACGGAGAGATGGTGAACGTTACATGCCGACACTAAGTAAATTAGCACAAATACGAAAATCTTCCGTTCTTGGACAATATAAAAAGCAAGTTGAATTTTATCGGAATATGTCGGAGAAAATGGTTATGGAAAAGCTTGAGGAGACATTTCCCTACTTGCGTAATAAGAGGTAAGGAGAATCGAAATTACATTTCCCCAAGAATGTGAATCGTTAGCTTGTATGTTTCGTTTTCTTATTTCAGGTCATGTGACAATGCTCTAAAGAAACATGTCTTTCAAATTTCTTTCTATTTACGTGCATATGGACGTAAACTTTACACAGATAAAGCTAAGAATTCCCTTAAGTAAACAAATACAATCTAAAGAGCTCTACTCAATGAAAAAACATGTGAAATTAAACCGCTGATTTCTACTTTTATTAATCGGTTATCCATGATGATTAGCAATCCTTTCAATATTTTGTCCATGTAAAGACAGTCGCCTTTAGAATGTTCTTCCTATGAATTGCCTCTTTAGTTATGCTTGTACAGTTTTTACCTCACGCCCAGCCGGATGCATGTCAACATCTCGAATTTGGGATGGAAAGACCGTAAAGAGGAACACACAGGGCAACTCAGCTTTATACATTTTGGAGGACGAGGTAATGCTAGGCATCATTTTCTGTCCAGATAAAGAAAAAAAACTTTCACAAGAATTGTAAAATAAAAAAATTTATTTTAGAATTTTCAGAAGGATTCGATGTACTTGTTGAGAGACCGACAACTTTAAACGATTTAAACGCCTGCTCCAGGCTCCCAGTTAGTGGACTCGTGCAAAATAACGAGAGAGTGACACTGATGACAGATGACAATGAAAAGGAGTAAGAACTATTTTAAACATTGTATCCACAAGTCTACCAGTTCCTAACTTTTTAGGCCCCAAAGACATAGATAGGTAGATCAACTTGAATACGCTAGCCTATCATCAACTTTATAAAAAGCTGGTTTCCAGTACGTAGGGGCGTGAACTAAGTATAAAAGTTAAAAACTACCGAAAATATACCTATGAAAAAAAAAAATTATTAATATGTATATATATATATATATATATATATATATATATATATGTATATATATACATTTATAAATCTAAGAATACACTAATATCTATGACTTAAACTATTAATGAATTAAATATAACCCTAAGAAATAAAATAATATATCATATTTGGTCCATAGGTTGAAATAAGTTCATCAAACATTGCCAAAGTTTCACAACTACGAATTTCATTTGGTAAGGAATTCCAGATCATAACACCATTATAGCTGAAACTCTCTTTAAAAATTTAGTCTTAAGCAACGGAACGGCCAACTTATTATCAGCGTCCCTTAAATGATAATCGTTGGCCGAACACGAGTCCCTGAAAATATTCGAAAGTCTCGCAGGTGCCAAGTCATGGAGAACCTTAAACATTTGTCTAGCCCTAATATGAATTCTAAGTTTAGGTCTTGGCTTAGTAAACTTCAGCCAAGATGAGGTACGATTACTTCAGACTATCCAGCCTCGTTTTTATAACGCATAATCACCCTAGCGCCTCTGTAATGGAGTTTCTGCAGCCTTTCGACTAATACACTTCCTAATTAATTCCAAACCGCACAACAATAATCAAAATAAGGCATAATTAGTGCATTATAGACTGAAACAAGTACACCACGACTAGTAAAATCTCTGAGCCGTTTTAAGGAACTATAATCAAAATGAGGCATAATTAGTGCATTATGCACCGAAACAAGTGCAACCTTACTTGTAAAATCTCTAAGCCGTTTTAAAGCACTAATTCCTGCAATAAACTTTTAAGTTATTTCTTCAACATACTTGTTCCACGTAAGAGATTCATCAATGTAAACTCCAAATATGTTGGTGTATTTGACTCTTTGATCGGATCTCTTCCAAGGCATAAATTTGGTTCTCAGGAAAGCTTAGCCAATCTTTGGCGTGAACCGATGAGCATATATTCGCAATACTAAAGCTAGGCTTATTTGCTTGTAGCCATAATTCTAATATTATCTAAGTCTTCATTAAGCCCTTATTCGATTTCGTCAATACTTTTCCCGTTGGCTGTTAGACTGGTATCGTTGGCAAACATTCGAGGTGTGGTGTGTTTGAGAAAATTTGGCAAAGCGTGAGCATACACCAAAAAGAAAAGTGGGCCCAAAATTGAACCCTGAGGGATTCCACGAGATTACTTATTTTATTTTTCCACTCACTGCATGGCTTACAGCCAGTAAAGGTCTATGTCAACGGGTGTGTTAGAAAGTGAGTCATTATGTAAGTAAGTATGTAAGAAAGGAAGTAAGTAACTAAGACCACGTTAGGTAAGACCCTGCAACCGTGCCAATCACTGTAAAATTGGTTTGGAAGCTGAGGGTTCCTGGTTAGATACTTTTAAGTGACATTCTTCGATCGGGCACGATGGGACTGCACCCTCGTGTCGTAACGCCAATAAGAGCCAACTCGCGCAGAAGAAGGTGGGTTGACTCATCTATTTTAGGCTTATACTCATTTTTTTAACTTATTTGCACGCATTGCGTGCCATTGCTTTAGGGAAGTTTAGGTCATGTGATTTAGGCAACCTTGTGGTTGAAAAATGAGAAACTAAAATTATGGAGTTGTGGAAAACGTTTTTTATTTTGGGGATGAAGTGCTTCACATGACAGGGCTAAACGAGTTATTCCAGATTTTCAACGGCTTCTCTCTTCCCATTTTTCGCTTGCCTCGATCTTGACTTTTCTCCATTGACCGAGAGCACCCAGCTTAGTCTATAGCAAGAGATTATAAACTGTTTATATTCCCCTGCCTATAGATTATAACCAAGAGTAAAAGCTCACTTAGAATATTTTATTTTTCTAAGGTAACACAGAAGAACGATTCCTCTGCATACTTAGACCAGCCAAAATCAGAATTCCGTCACGATGAGCCCACATCACATGATCAGTCTCAAAAAACAGCAAATGAACTGAGTTCTTTGGGAATAGGAGCTCTTGCGATACCTGGACTAGAAAAGCAGCCTACCTCTTCTGGCAGTCACACAAGAAACAGCACTATTCATCGAACTTCAGCATCACGGCTGACACTAAAAGGTTTGGAACCTTCACCCGCTCCTTTCTTTTAAATTTTGGGAATTCATTGTGTATATTTTCTTCGGGTTTATTTTATGAAAACGGCTCTTTATGGAAAATTCCCCCCTCGTCTGAGAGATTATGTTATGGTTAATTTGGGGTTGAAAAGTGTATGTTGCGTATTTCATAAAACGATGAATTTTTAATTTCTGGAATTTTCAACAGCAGAGACTTTAGGAGCTAAAGATGGAACACTGCAAGGTGTCATCAGACTTCCACAAAATCAACAGGTATAGATTTTTCTCACTGCGTTAAAGATCTTTTTTATCATTTACTTTGATTCGTATTTTATTCCGATCACAAATCAATTTTTCTCTTTATTTGTGGTATTCTTTTCTTTTCGGTGCTCGTTACAGTAACCTAACTTAAGAATATTTAATTCCGTCCGATGCAAAACAGCTCAGGAGCCTGAAATTAGGTCATTTAATATCTGCTTTCCCTTTTTCTCACTAATTTATCATATAGACATTTATATAGATATTCTTCCGCTCTTTTGTGCTTAAAGTCTGGAAATGGAACCAGGAGCAGCGACTGGTCTCACACCGAGGTATTTGGGCCGACACTTAAAGTTTTGAAGACAGGTGATAACCAACATACTGGTGGAAGACAACGTTTACGTCAAGAAATATTGCCAAGTATTTTTTCGGTGACTGGTCCACATCCACCATTGCAGCAAGCCCTTGTAATGGAAAAGCCAATACCAGCTGAAAGAAACACCATCTCCACGTCAAGTCTGCATCAAAATTATGGAACATCATTCGGGCTGCAGACGTTCTCTTCCGCACTCACACCTCAGTTGAACACTTCGAATGACTTGATTGTAGCTTCTCAGCGATCACACCATTTGTGTTCGGCAGAGGCTATGGTAACATCCCAACAATTCTGTTCAAACGAAACATCGACAGAGGGACTTAACCTTTGGTCTGCGGACCCACATCTCTCCCGTGGGTGTTCACTTCTGGACTCCCCTCCACCAGGTACAGTAAATAATGTAATAGTAAAAGGGGGAAACCCCTCTTGAGGCCTGAAGCGGTAACTTAGCTGCTGTAATCTGGGTTAAGAGATCCGGGCTCGAGCCTAGGCCAGGTCATTGTGTTGTGTTTTTTTAAGAGAAAAATGAAACTCTCACAATGTATTTCTCCACCCAAGCACAATTAGGTGAAAATTGCTGGAGAATTGTCGTTGATGGATCAATGAATGCGATTTCTTATTGTTCCCATTGATCCGTCTGTTCAGTCTTGAATCATTGAAAAAAATGTTCTTATTTATCAGTTCTGGAAAACATATGGGCAACAACAGAAAGTCTTGAAAAAGGAGGAAGAATTAGGCTAGTTTTTGGCCAAAACACAACATGTACCTGAATTTGACATAACGATTTACATGCCGAAATCTTTAAGTAGGGCAAGTATAGACAATCACATCTACAGGTGCTAGTCAGTGCGCTATAAAATCAATTTCCAAATTTGGTCAATCGTCAAAACGAGATTAAAATTTATGTTGGTGCAGGTCATGCACAATTCTGACAGTTAGTAAGTCTAGTTAGTTTACCAATGGTTGATGCCCTATAGCTCCAGATCTACCCAACGAAAACCTGGCGCCCAAAGAAAAGCTAAAAACTCTTTCTTTTCAGATTTTTGTTTTTCTGCGTACCTGCTTTTATTTAAGTTCAGTTTGTTTTGTGCTGTCGTTTTTGGTTCTGTGGTTCCAGGGCATAAGTTGTTTCGTAGAGATATTTTTCATGCTGACTCGTTCAGCGACAATACCAGCATCTGGGGCTCGTATTTGCTTGATTTATTAATCTCTGGAATTGCCATTGTCACTTGCGGCTCTGGAACAGAGTTTGCTCCGCGGTATGTTTTGGTTCCTGACTTTGTTGAGTGTTTGATTCATAGTCGCAGGAGCTCAACGCTAAATTTTACAGTATTTGGTATTGTCATTATATTGGGTGGCTTTAGGGCATACGTCACTTAATGTGTTTGTTGTTGTTGTTTTTCTTAATTGTGTGTCATACGTAAGGGGCTAAAGTATGTTACTAAAGTAAAGTTTCATGGCCACTTTGTATACCTGAATATATGGGATGAGAAACAGAAAAAACACCTTGCTTCTTATCGTGTCGTTTTCTACACTACTTGATTATTGACATAAGGTAAGGTAGATTCTCTTTTCTAATGCAATGTCAAGAGGGGTTCCTAAACTCCCCTTCGGATTTCCCAACACCTAGACCACCTTTCCTAGGCTTCGTGGAAGATTTCACCTGACGTGACGACTTATCCTTGTTTCACCAAGTTCAGATCGTCTGAAAATTCACTCGGAAGTTTACCATTGTTCTGCTCGTGAATACTAACATGTACGCAGCTGCGTGAGACGAATTGCACGATTTAACCCTTCCAAAGAAATCATCATTAATTATGAATGGGGCGACAATCCATCTATTCATTAACCAACAGGTTTTCAATAAATCTCTGGATTTTCCGCATTTTCTTGATTTGTTACCTTTATTGTACCTTTACTCTTCGAGATCGAAAGTTGCGGTCTGTGGTTTTCCAATCAAATAGCGCCTTGTGTCTATAACATATTCGAGTTGACATGCGTTAAGTGTCTCTTTATACTGACAGCTCCAGTGTTGTACTACAATAATATTCTTCTGTGTTGGTTTATCATATTTTTTTTGTTTGGAATTTCTTAGCTTTTTGTGGGTTTACTTTTTTAGATTGGGGCCTGTGGTTGGTCTTCATTCACAGTTTCCCGTAAGCGTGCTCATTTTCCTCTATGGCCGCCAGTCCCCTGCATCTTATATAGGGAGCATAAATTGGTGCCTTTAAATTTGTTTCAAAAAACAAGATATGGTTAATTCGTATCCAGTTTTGCTGATAAATGAATCATCAGTCATGAGGCAGAGGAGTTTGTAAATAAAGACAACCATAATTACACTAATGATGGTATTAATTATTATTTGTAATGCTTTTTCCAGACAGTATCGAAAGCAGTCTATGTCAGAATACCACGCCGCCATTTAGGCTAAGAACCATGCTCACTTCGGAGACTTCAGAGGTGAAATACAACTTAGTTAAATGTACATTATGAGCCATGGAAAAGGGGCACAGAAAGATACGGAAATCTATCCTGAGATAACTGATTTGAGAAGTGCTTCATGAAGTTTTGTTGGCAAATGTTCAGACGTTCAGCATGAAATCATAGAAAAATAAGTTTTGAAATGATGTCAATGGTAGCACATTCTAGATTATCCGATGTAAATCATAGTGTTTATTTCAATAGGTCTATGACAGTGCTGGCTTCTCTTCGGATATCCTAACCACCGATAGAAATTCTGGATTTGATCAAGACTTTTCTTTTGGTAAGAAATACACAATGTGCTTGCGAGCCGGCTTTTACCTAAAACACATCTACAAATGAAAGGTTGTGCGAATTTTCGTGTCTCTATCCATGTTATCTAGTTAAGTGAACATTCAAATTTCGTACCTTTAGCATGGCCTCAGGAGTCTGGAGAGAGCATGCATCTTATAAAGATGGCAGATTAATTGGGGAGGACTTTAGTGGGGATGGTGTCTCAATTCTGTTTCTTGGCATCACAGGATCATTGTAGTTTAATACAATCATTGTAAATTCAAATTTTATATTGTATAGTATATCCACGAGTTCACTATAACGTCACTTTGATTATCTCACTCTCAATTTGTTCCTTCGTTGTTTTTGAAATCGCTGGAAATACAATCGATAACTTTCTAAAGCAATCAACGCAATCAATGTTTTCTTTTAATACTGCATTATACGAACAGAAAAGAAATGTGATACCCGTTTATCTGGTAACAGCGTCTCAACTAGCTTGTGCATGTAGGCTTTTGCGATATGTGTTGTTAAAAGGTGCTTCAGTCCGATCTAGAGTCAAGGAGAATTATTTAAGCGTCACATATTTATTTCTTTTATTGTCTTAATCAATGCTCTGTAGAGGATCTGCTTCTATGTGACGAGGTTTCTGACGATGTGAAGCTTTATTTTCCTGTTGGTCCGGAAAATACTCCATCAGAGGTAAAGATTTCTATGATATAGCAATGAAAGTCATATTACTCAACCAAAACAACAAAAACATAAATTTTATTGAAGTCAAACTGAGATGTAGTCCTTGTTGCTCCGCGTCAGCAGAGCTGTTCCAGTCGGGCTAATTAACAACACACGTCCATGAATATGACGACTAACGAAACTTTACAGGAATTCATTAGCTGAAGGAAAATTGAATTAAAAAGGGTAGCCTCACTTATTTGTAATTCTCTCCTACAACAGCTTTTTGTTTTGAATAAATCGAACAGTCCGGATATTTTCTTTCTTTTCCCGCCATCAATAATCTGAATGCCTCTCTCCTCCAAATAATGTTTAACTATCCCACGTTGAATTCGGAGAAATCCTCACTCATTTTCATTACCACGGCTGTTTTTCCTGTAAAGAGGAGAGAGACTTCGCACTTAGACTCGTTCTCGTGCCTTTATTTCGGCACCAGATCTCTGAGTCGTGAGAAATTGGAAATAGTATGCTTCTGTAACAGCGAAGGCAGGCGCTCTGTCGTTTAAAAGGAAATACGTTGTAAAAGTCTCTCGATTTTATTTCTTCCCAATTTCCTTGTGATTACTTCGGTTACTTCTTTTGCTTCGATTTTACTTCACTGTACAAATAAACTAAATAAAATTTTTGGAACCAGGTACTGCCTCGTCCTCCACGTCCGCGTTAGAGGACCATTGATAAGAGGGCGATCTCCGTGTCACAGGAAATTATGATAAGTTTGAGCTCCTAACGGCTCAGTTGTTTTACCGAGCTTTTTTCCCCCCGTTGCTGTGCATTTCTTTCCAAAAGTGCAAATTAGTTCATAAACTACAAATAGATGGGAATTTTTCTTAGTTTAAATATTTGTAATGTAGTTAGATTAAATTCTTGATTAAGTAGCACGAGGTAGTATGGTATATGTTGTAGAAATGTTCTCCCCCTTTAAAATAATAGTAATAAAAAACAGCACCAATAATATTTCTGTGCTCGCATGAGCAAAAATAATGCAGGTTCTAAATCAGGTTTTGGAGTGAAAATCCAGAGACGAACAAACAGTAATTTCAGAGTAACAGCGAATGTCTATATGCAGTTAATTTGAACATACTAAGCCAAACATATTTCAATTTCTTAGCTTTTATCTGTTACCACCTTTTGCGCTAACCTGTTTTGTTTCTGATTTTTGCAGATACCAGATTTTGAGGACTATGTAATGGAAGATGATAATAACCTCACAGGTATGTCAACTAATTTAGTTGACTTAAATTTGAAAGGTAACAAGACCCATATTTGCCAGGTGCCTCTCTAAGAAAGGTGCAGCTTCAGTTGCTCTCTCTGAAAGGTAACAGGATTGCAAGATTGCATGTGCGAGAAGCTTCTATCAATTCGACAACAGTAGCTTGTAGTAGGGGAGCATGCTATACCTTTCTTTGAAAGTAGCTGGATTAAAATGTGTAGAGCAGTGAGGACCGTATGTCACATGTGGTGCGCCGTAAATAAAGCTAAAAGAAATCGAGAACTGTTAAAGTCGTTTTGCTTTGAGAAATGTTAAATTTTTTGATTAAAACATTTTGCACATCAACGAGGCTTCATAGGATTTTTCTGAGGGCGCGGGATCTGGGTACGAACATAGCACAAGTTGCATAAGTGTCAACATGCAAAACAAAGATGGCGGCTCGACGCGATCGCACGATTGTTCTCTGAAAAGGTGTGTTAAAACAGTTTGACACGATACAGTTTTTATATGAAAGAATCTAGGGTTCCAGCAAGTGCACCCGTAATATTCATAGGCCTTCTACGCCTGAAAAAGAGGTCAACCGGAAAGGAAACAACGTGAGAAAGATTACCAAAAGGCGACAGATTTGAAAGTTTACGCATGCTCAGATATAGATTTTGGCGAAGTGCTACTTAATGATGTAATTTTTTGGGAGTGAGAGAAAGGGGATCTTTCCAATGAGATTTATCGCGTTTCCCTCGGAAATTTTTTAATCGGCCCAGTCTTAACCACAGTTAATATAGTTCCTATCAAATAGCCCATATTTGTTAAAATCTGTCAGAGCTGACCGATCATATTTAGAAATATGACAAATCAGAGAATATTGGCAAAACCGTCTGAACGACTTTACAATTATAAGATCTCAAAAGATCAGGTAATATTGTTCTATAATGTGGCAAAAAGCAAAGACATTTCACTGAGGGAATGTAAAGATCTTAACGTGTTTCGGCCAAAAATTGGAATATATCTGCCTTTCATTAGAGATGATGATGCCATAGTAACGTCCTTGATCTAAAAATTGACACTCAACATCGTTAGCCGAACTGGTAAATATCTTGAGAGAAAACGTTAAGAATAATTAACTAGGTTTCCTTTCGTAACTCGCGCTGTAAAGGAAGAATAGGGAGCCATCTTTTAAAAGTGCCTTCTTACTTTTCTTAAAAGTGAATAGGCGCTGAAAAGTGATTATTACTGCCCTTCTACACCGAAGATGGTTAATTTTCAACAGATTCTTTCGTTTACATTCATCATAGTGTTTTAAGTGGTGAACAAATATTTTTCTCCATTTAAAAAGTTGACAGCAATTTTCCATTTTCTATTTGACAAAAGTACCATGTTGCCATGAATTTATTCAACAATGGATCACAGATGACATCAAAGTGTTTTGAGAACAAAAACGTGGCACATGAGGCATAGCCAAGATTGTCACTGATTTTCTTAACATGTTCATTCTCCTGTCAACTATTAATGTACAGAACGATGGCAACAACGAATTTAGTTGTTTATTATGATAAAGAGGCAAAATTTGTTAATGGTGACATAACATATGCGTCTGTCTTCGAAAAGACCATAAGAAACAGGCAATCAAGATGCGTGTGTAATTCTAATCAGTTTATGTAAAAAAAAAATTAAAATGATAAATAAACAAAATTTAAGTATGTAAATAAAAGAAAGTGAAACTATAAATGGTATTTCTATTGCAGGAAGTACAGAAATTAGAGAACTTCAACTCTCTCTTCAAGGATCCTTGTTGAATTCCACTGAGGTAATATTTATCACAATGAATGAAAAATTTATCTACTAAACTAATGGTGTGCGAAAAGTGTTAAGATTTGGGATAAAGGAGACTAGGCTAGCAGAATTGCCCCATAATAAAAACATTTGTTTATGCCCGCCATTGAATCCCACAGATTAAGAACAAAATGAAGATATGATAAAAGTTAGAAAAATTCAGATAGGGTTTAGGCTTTAGTACATTATGCTGGTATTTTTTCGAGTATGAGGTCATTTTACTGGAATTCTTCCCGAGAATATTTTTGGGGTAGGTCAGCACTTTTAGGCATCAAGACTCAAGATTAGAAAAAGGCAGGCCATGTTGTCCTTCTATCTATTCATTTACACCTTTATTTCACATTTAAATACTCTGTTAAAATGTTGGAATAAATAAAATACAAGTATCTGTTTAATGAGCAATATCCGAGCATTGTAGAGACTTGTAAAGGGGAAACTTAGCATTTTTGTGGGAAAAAGAGGAGCATTAATTTATGTGGGGAGGCAAAATCATTATGTACAAAAGTCTAATAGGGTTTTTTTTTATAGTGTTGAATGTAAAGAATCAAAAAGGAAGTTGGGTTTAAATTGAAAGTATTCTCTTATCGCCTAAGTATAGCAAGATGGGTGTTTTAAATGTTCGATCAGTGTTTTCAAGCCTATCATTACATGACTTTACATTGTTTCTTTTAATAGATGTCTGACTGCTCAGCCGATAATCGCAATACTACTAGTGGTATTTCTGGACTTGATCACAACTTGTCTTCAGGTAAGAGGCTGTAAAACATGCTTGCAGCTTTGCGTGGAAAGTTACTCAAAATATCTTCATAAATTCTTACACATTTACTTCTATAAGTAGACGTTAATAGGACAAAGTGGAGTACAATTCAGGAAGTAATCGGGTGAATGATTTCAAATTGGCGTGAGGTTAATTTGAAATTATACTAAAATTTTTTAATCTGTAATGATCAGTGATGCGCCATAATTTCAGAGGAGGCAACAAACGAGCTGGTGGGAATTTACAGAAATTGTATGTCCATGATTTTTTTTAAAATCTCATTGATGTTCTGCAGATGATCTGTCGCCACATGAAGATGAGTACTTTGACTTAAGTGTCACGCCGAAAAGAGTTCCCTTGAAGGTAAGGGTTTACAAAAATTATTGTGGAGAGGTATTTGTTATTGTATCAGTGCACACCGTATGTGATTTAAATGCTTATTCAGGTGGCTTTCTGTCATATGCATGTTACAATGCTATAAATGTATGGGAATTCTGGTATGGAAATCACCCATGATGAGGTTATTCTACTGCGAAATCCTATAAACATAGAAATGAATAAAGAAACAATTAGTTTGACAATTGGTTTCCGTGTTTACATAGCCTGATGTAAACACGCGGCAGGTTGGGAGAACACGAGATAAGCGTACTTAATAGTTATTGAACTGTTAGAGAAATTCTGGCTGTATCGGAATGGATTAGCTGTACATGGTATGGTGATCATACTGATCGTCTTAGTGTTCGTAATGCCACCGATTTCTGTTTTCCAGGGTGGTGGATTGTGTCGTTTTTCATCTAGTCGAGCGTTTCCGAGGAATGTTCAGTCTGCATTTGCTATCTTCGAAAATCTAGACACTGTTGAAGTTAAGAGGTGTGGCGAAGACTCACTTGATGGAGACAAAATTCCACGTATGTTGATTTTTACTGCTTATACAGTAGATAGTTGGAAATCGTGGGGGGGGGGGGGATATTTGGTTGGATCGTGTAGTCTGATCGTCCGGATGAGCGTAGGACCAAATATTCCTATGAGCAAATTCAATTATGAACTTCGAAATGTGTCTGCCTGGCTGCGAGCTATAATCTTTGGGCCCAAGCAAAAACGTTTCCCTCAATTAAAATCACTAAATGTAGATAATCATGTTGTAGAGCTAGGAGATATAACAAAATTTATAGCAGTTTATATATATCAACTCTCAACATAGAAAACACGCAAATATCTTATTTGTAAAAGACAATTGCCATTTCTACTGGGTTGCAGTATGTAGCTAGCTATTATTAGCCTTAAAATTCTCTCCGCTCGTTTTATTACGCAATAACTTCGCAATATATCACAAACTGTAGTCTAATCTGGGCCTCAACCTATATCGCATATATACGAATAATTTATGTACTTCAAAAGTGTGTTGTTCGATTAATTTCTAAGGCTCAATAGGGAACCCCTGGTAAACTCCTCTTTAAGTAATTAAAAAATGCTACACATTCAAAGTAATTATTTGCTTTAGGTTAGCTCCTTCAAGTATCTTATCACAAGAATCTGTTACTATTTTTTTTTCTTTAGAATTTTTAACCTGCCAATCAAATCCATCATCACTGAACGAAAAACGCAGAGTTTTACGACTCCTTTACTGATCTCACCATTGCGGAACCAATGCAAAAAAAATTTTTCCAAGAACATAAAATATGGAACTCCATACCCTCTTCTATATTTGGGATTTATATACACGGTACACTCTTTTTGGCTCTACGAGAGGTATGCGTCATCCGCAATTTTGATCATGATAGTCATTGATTTTGCTTGTTCTATCATCATAGCTTCCGAAACGCCAGGATGGGTCAAAGTATCTTTACGACGAGCAGATGGTAGAGAGCTAGGCGAAACGGAAATTTGTTACTACGATAAAGATAAAGAGGCTGTTGAACGGATAATTGAAGAACCAAAGTTACAGGAGTATTTTTTTCGAAAGTATTCTGAGAGGTTGAGTAATCGTAACAATACAACAGGCAGTGGAGCTGACGCCCAAAACTCCGGAGTTTGTGGTGAGTGGCGCATCACTGAGTACTTCTAGTTTTCATAAAAAACCAATTGACCCAAATCAAGGCAGAAATCCTGAATGGTTAAATTTTTTTTTTAAAAAAAGTCGAGAAATCTGTGGGGCTTTAGTCTTGAATCAATCTCACAATCAATCTTACTATCAATCAATCAATCAATTTTATGATTCATGCATCATTTGGTAAATAAAGCCCTTCAGCTGCCTGTTATGTCGGCTGATAGTTTCCGCGGCCGAGATATATTGTCCGAGATATGAATATTTGAATTACAAATAAACAATAGCCTCGATATGACGCGACAGTATGCATAGATATTTGATCGCGGATACTATCTGTTCCAAGATGCGAACAGTTTTAAGCGAGCGAAGCTCATTGAAAACTGTAAGCAAATTATCCTTCAAATATTTATTATGTATTATCCTTCAAATATTTTGCAATGCGCGTAGTAAGTGTCTTTTGAGCAGATTACTGTATGCAGCGTGGAATGTTTTCTTTTGAGTGTTTTCTGGTACGACTTAATTAACAAAAAAAAAGGTTTTCCTTCTTTTGTAACAACCACTTAACCTTCTCTCCTCTTGAATACATCTGAAACAATGACTAATCGTAGTGGACGTAAGGTTTGAAGTTTTGGCTGAGGGATATTCGGTCAGGTGCTGCGTTCAGACCAATCGCGTTCGAGCAAAAATATTTGATGGAACATAATCATATACACCCTTCAGTTTTTGAAAATATGAAATGATAAAGCAATCAACTCCTTCCTTGCGTATGGTTCTGTCATACTTAATATTCATCTTTAGCAAGATTTTATATCTCTGTGAAAACAATTTTAAAACGTTGTTCTGGTTTCACACTGGACTTTGATTTTATTAGAAGTGTTAATAGAATAGTGGAATTAATTTAGCAATTAAATGTTCTTGCTAGGCAGTTAGTCAGTTAGTTCTTAGCTTAGGGAATTCGCTTGATGATTGTTTCCGGCTGCCCATGATTGTAAACACCCTCTTTTATTTAGGTTCCACAGAACCTGAGCAGATGTTATGCGTCTTAGTTTACGCTGCAGCAGAAATTGGTCGTCAACAATTCATTGAAATGATCTTCAACTCATCCGCCGGAAGAGTAGTTTATGACCATTACAAAGACAGCTCAGCTCTTCCCGAAGCTATTGCCAGAGAGTATGGGCACGAGAAGACAGCTACTTTTCTTGAGGAGATAACTGACAGGTACTCATTTCCACTTGACTTTGGAATGAAGTGATTTAAATACGATTAAGATTGCAAAAAGATTGGGTTATTCAGGGTGCTGAGATACGGTCATTAGATTACTTCTAACAGAGATGCGAGGGGTTGACATCAGCCGTTAGACTGTCTCAGTGAATTTTTTGTCACTCAGGTTGACATGCACAAGAAGTGCGTTGATAAAATGATCTGACATGGCGGCTACCTTGAGGTTATCAGACACATTAGTTTTTTCTTTTTTAATTATAGCGTGCTTCTTTAGTTCCTATGAATTAAACACATTTATAACATAGCTAGTAAATTTGTCCGATCAAATTCGATTGCGCGAGCGTGTTTCATATTCCTATTGTGCACGCTCATGACGTCAGCAAACATATATCCTCGAGAAAAAAATTTTCCATCGGGTTGAAAATGTTATAAAACAATTGGTTCATATGTCAGCTGTGCGTTCATTGAGATATGAAGCACTTGGTAAGTTTGGAGAGCACTCAAGAAGCTAGAGTTGCTCTCGGCTACGCCTCGAGCAACTCTTACGCATCTTTCGTGCTCTCCAAACTTCCCACGTGCTTCATATCTCGATGAACGCACGCTGACGTATGAACTAATTGTTAAATTTTTCTGCTTAGATTTTCTAAAGAGGCCAGTGAAGCCCAAAACTACCCCCAGACAATCGACTGGTCTGAGCTTGTGAGAGCTGCAGAGGAAGCACAAAAGCAGCCCGGTGAGTGAACAACTTTAGTACTGCTGAGTTAGATTATGTTTTTGGATATGTATATAGCTCGCAAGTTGTGAAATGATGTTTATGCCAAAGTAACCACGGACCGTTAGAATCGTAGAGGAGGGTGACGTATGAGCAGTAACGTATTGCTGATTTATTTTAATTTTTACTTTTTTACCAAACAGACCTCAGCAATGAAGAAGAGAGCTGTCAACTTGAAAGTAATGTTGTAAAGGACACTGGTTATTTAGGAGACATCGACACCTCGTCCAACGAATCTTGCCAGAGCGGTAGCTCCGATTCTGAAGATGACATTCCTCGGGCGACTTCTAAAGGTATCCTGTGATAATGTTTTTTGTCTTAAATTGATTTTTTTTACCGCAAATTTTCTCCTTCTTTCCATCTTATGGGGGAAATTGTATCTTTATTTATATTAAAACCCCCTCGCGGAACATAAATGTTTGATTGCCAACAGTCGAAGTCTTAGCTGTAGTTAACGCAGCGCATTGTACTTTTTTTCCGAAATAGAAATGAATTACCCAGAAGATAAGCTCAGCGAAATTGCACTGGCACTTGAAGATCAGGTATTTGGAATCAAGAAGGCAGCTGTGAGCCAAAGTCTGATGTATTTTTGTGAAACTAGACATTTTAACCGAGAACAAGTAAATTCTATAGTGTCCAAGAAAGTTGTGTTACCGACCTTAGAAGGATGGCAGCTCTCCCTTTTCAAAGAGGCATCCGGCTTGAAACACCTGAGAAGTCTCAATCGATGTGATACTTCTTTTTTCCTGTGCCCAGAACAGGAAAGTATCCAATGTCATATAATCACGGAGTATGAAAAGTGGTGCCTCCTGTTTAAATACACGAAATACAGCAGTTTACACAGTCGGACGTTCGCTGCTGAAGGTGGAGAATTTGTAGAAGAAGTAAATCTGGAAACCCAAACTGTTATGATGGGAGCCTCCTTTGGCTGCGCTGAAGACCTTCTTCGTATGCAATCAACAAGAGGTGAGGAACTGATCGTATTTGTAATGATTCAGGCTAAGTTAACTGAGGGGGAATTATTTTATACTATAAAATGAAGCAAATGATCGGCCTTCATCTCTAAGTTGTGTGTTACATTTGCTAAATTCCTGAACTTTGGTATCTATTATCGTTTTTAATGGTTTTTTCCAGAACTCGCAACAACGTCAGATAATCTGGAGCTAGCTGTTCAATGGAGTTCGACTCAAGGGTCAACAAAAGATTCTACTTCTTCCGATTTATGGGTGTTAACTTGTCTGTACCGTCCATCGAGGATTATTTTGTTTGTTTATGTAAGTGTCAAACAAGTGTAAATACTCGTCATTTCATGAATTTTTCTCTCTTAAAAGTGAAAGAATTTCAGCTTTTTAAAATTATTCTTGTTTCAATTTGTTAGTCAAGTGTTTTAATTCCGCACTGGAATTTTACGTACCGGACTTATAACACTAGACTGACAACAACTATTCACTTGACTCTGATAATTACTTCCGCTCAGGCGGTCGAAACATCAGTCACTGATACCAAAACAGTCCTTCCTAAGACTACCCTCAAAAGGACGATCAGACTACACGATCAGATGTTACCCTCGGGTTCCAACCTTTTTACTGTAAAAGGCTGTCTGCTAAGAGATAAACGACCAGTGTACTGACCATACGCTTTCTCGTGAAAGTCTCTTTTCTTTTCCGTTTTGAGGTTGCAGACAACAGTGATGTTTTGCCTCAAAAAGCGTATTTTGACGATGACAGATACGAATTGTCAACCCAGTACTGGCAGTGGCAGCGATACTGCAGCAGTTTGTTTGATGTCCAAAGTAGGCTACAAGAAATGCGAAAACTATCAGGTACTTATTGCTTTGGGTTTACCTGGAGTTTTATGATTCGGTTCTTGGTGAGGTTCTGAATTGTTCTCAGGCTTTTATAACACGAATCTAACTGCGAATTTTTTTGCGTGAATTATATCTTAATTGGATGATAAGTTAATTGATACGTACAACAAGTTCTTTAATTTGATTTATTTTCCTTTTATTGTTAGAACAAATGAGACCAGAATTCGGCCCAACTCCTCATCCTACATACAGGGCAAAGGTATGTTTGTGGTTTTCAGTGAGATTAACGGTTTTGGTGGCTTTGATGTGTATTATTTTACAGCAAATACCAGTCAACCGATATCTCATAATATGCCTAGTCAAGAAATCCAAGCCCTTAAGATTGAAAGTTTTCTCCGTGAGAAATTAAAGTGAGAGCAAAAAATAATCCAAGTTTGCATCGTCCTTCTTCTACAATGCAATTTGGCTCTTAGAATAGCTTAATTGTTACTTGAATTTTTTTTTTCATTTATGAGTTGTAAAGAGGGCGCAAGATATCTCTCAGTAATATCTCGAGATGTAAGATATAGATCGATATAGAAATCGCAATGACGCGCAGTAGGCATATGAACGATACGTTTTTTCTCGGCAGTTGTTTCCTCAAGTACAAGGCAAGCACGTGTTACGCCAGCCTGAATGCTGTCCTACCTGGTTATATACCATGATGCATCAATGTTGGGTCTATGTTCCAGTAGAAAGGCCACCTTTCATCGCCATATTTGATGGCATCTCGTCGAGGTTAGTCATGATAAATAACCCTAAGCATCGCACTTTTTAAATTAGGACTTTGTGTATCGCAACGCGATACAGGTCGTAGGCAAACTTCTCGCGTGATTCAATGACGAAGGTACCACCATTCGCTCTTGGAGTATATAGGCACAATCGTCGCAGAAACAAACTCTTTCGGAATATTCGAAGAACTCTAATTTAAACACGACTGATCGCTTGGTTCATCTGCTTGAAACTTGATAAGGGAAAGGAAAAACCTCTGCCTTTCTAGATCCTTTTTTCACTTTTAACCTATCAGTCATATGACCTGTTAGGTGCTCTAAAATAAAGTTGTCTTTAAAAAAAAACAAGCCAAACGAAACAAAACAAAAACAAGTTCTGAAATTTTTCATCACCAACTAATTAAGAGGAATTTAAGTAATCATTGAGAGAAAACGTAAGAAAGCTAGTGCATCGGTATATTTATAAGATATAACAGTTTGTTTAAATTTGTCATTAGATGATTCAACTTAAAGGTTCAAACGTAATAATTCAAAGTTAGCTGAACACGGTCACAACATTTTGGATATTGCAGCGAAATTGATTTTTCTTGTATTAAACACACCCTTCTTCACTGGGTACTGAAGTGCGGACCTCGTTGCGCTGTGCCGAGTACTTTCCCATCCGGGCAACCTCCACTCAGTCAATAAGTACATATCATTCTTCCTTTTAGGGCACTAGGGGCGCGCTTAATAGCGACTTGGTTAAGTCAATTTGACCATGGAATGTCTTTACCCCTGAATAAATACCAGTCAGAGGATCTTTGCCTTGTAAACGACAAAACAAATCCTCCATCCTCAAGCGTCAAAGTGACTGGTTACCACAGCGATGGAAAGGAAAAGTTATACGAAGGAGAATTACATGAGAACGATGGAAATAATGGGGTCTACATTGACAAACACCTCTTACTCCAAGAAAGAATAAACAATGAAAAAGGACTTCCCCTGATTACAGCACATCCCCCTTCTAAAGTCTTCTATGGAGTCAGCGAAGGAATCAGTGACACCCAAAGCGAGGTCAATATCGAAACTTCATCCATCTGTCCGCCTGGTTGTAAGTGGATATCACGAAAACAGAGAATTGGTTGGCACGACGGTGAGACTCGCAGCCTCAGTAAAGGTTTGGCGGATAGCACGTCATCAACTTTCACCCTAACATTCAACAGCAAAGATGATTACTGGTGGAGAGACAATGTAAATCGACTGGGTGGGGATTTGGCGAAGAGTACGTCATTAAATGCATTCACTCTAACAATCAACAGCATAGACAGATACCTGTGTGGAGACCGGGGAAAAGGCCGGGGTGAAGGTTTGGCGAGGAGTACGTTATTGACTGCATTCACCCAAATAATTAACAGCGTCTACAGATACCTGTGTGGAGACTGGGGAAAAGGCCTGGTTGAGGCTTTGGCGAAGAGTACGTCATTAACTGCATTCACGCTAAAAATCAACAGCGTCAACGGATACCTGTGTGGAGACTGGGGAAATGGCCTGGGTGAGGGTTTAGCAAAGAGTACGTCATTAACTGCATTTACCCTAACAATCAACAACGTTGGAAGATACCTGATAGGAGACTGGGGGGAAGGCCTGGGTGAGGGTTTGGCGAAGAGTACATCAATAACTGCTTTCACCCTAACAATCAACAGCAAAGACGAATACCTGGATGGAGACTGGGGAAAAGGCCTGGGTGAGGGTTTGGCAAAGAGTACGTCATTAACTGCTTTCACCCTAACAATCAACAGCGCCGACGGATACCTGGCTGGAAATTGGGGAAAAGGTCTGGGTGAGGCTTTGGCAAAGAGTACGTTTTTAACTGCTTTCACCCTAACAATCAACAACGTTGGCAGACGCCTGGATGGAGACTGGGGAAAAGGCCTGGGTGAAGGTTTAGCGAAGAGCACGTCATTAACTGCTTTCACCCTAACAATCAACAGCGTCGACAGATGCCTGGATGGAGGCTGGGGAAAAGGCCTGGGTGAGGGTTTGGCAAAGAGTACGTCATTAACTGCTTTCACCCTAACAATCAACAGCGTCGAGGGATACCTGGCTGGAGACTGGGGAAAAGGCCTGGGTGAGGCTTTGGCGAAGAGTACATCAATAACTGATTTCACCCTGTTAGTCAACAACGACGGCGGATACCTGTATGTAGATTGGGGCAAAGGCCTGGGCGAAGGTTTGGCGAAGAGCTCATCGATAACCGCATTCACTGTAATAAGCATTCTGACCAAATGCATAATTGGGGAATGGGTTGAATACCTGAGGAGAAGTTTACGAAATAGTAAGTTGTTGTTGTCTGAAAATGTGAGCATAGCTGACAGCAATACTCTGAATAGATGTCCCTTCTCATTTGATCTTGATAGAGGTCTCCGCGTAAGCCCACCGTCTAGTAAATGGAATCGACACTTTTATCACGAAAAGGAAAGTTTAGACTCAGGATCTCCAGATTTTTCAAAGTATTCAATCAAATTTACGGAACAGAAAATCAAGACGTATATGGTTGCGTCGTGCCCTGACGCGAAGAATGAGAGAATGCGAAAAAAATGCACGAGAAAATACGGTGACGATATCTTTGTTGGAAAAGATGAAAACTTACGTGAAGTCTTGTTATAGACCCATTCTTAATCTTTCAATCCTCTAGGGAAGGTGTAAACCAAATCTATATCTGACGTAACCGAGCATTCAAGAGCATTGAGAAAACGAAAAAAGAACTTTGGAAAGAAGCAAGTCGTTGCACCTTTCACATAATGACACTACCGAAAAATTAACTTGTAATTCACAGGCTCTAACACGCCATACTAAAGTGCTCGAACAATTAAAAAGAACTTCGCTCTCAATGTGCTCAGTTCAAATAACCTCGTTTGAAGGAAAGATTCATTATGTTGTCAAGCTCCACTTCAGTTTTTCTTTTTCGCATCTTGCTGAAATAATTTTTGCTGAAAAGTCAGATTTGTAGAGCTCTCTTATTGAAAATATACATTTATGGCAATATTTGTCATCAACTGTGTCTTCCTTTTATTGCAGCCATATTTGAAGACTCGCTGTTGCGGCTATTTTAGCTCCTTCCAATCCCCCCTTTCCGCCTCTTCCTCCTTCCCCCATCCCCCACCCAAAAAAGAAAGAAAAGAAAGAAAGGTAGTCCAATTGTGTTGACGCACTAATTCAATTCATATGATACAAGTAAAAATTAGATTTCGGCTGTTGCTAGTAACTTGTTCGCGATTAATAATCATTATGTTCGTTTTTTTGAAGGCTCTATACTTAGAATTTTCAACATGAGTCATTATTCAATGTTGCTTTCCCCAGCTTGCTTCCGAAAATTTTGCCAAATTTCATTTTGTTTGTTTTTAGAAGAGTTAAAATATTTTGTTTCGCAGCGAGTTAAATTAATTTTGACGGGAATTGATATGCTTCGCCACGAGTTAATTCTGTTTTGCCGTGAGGTTAGCTTGTAAGTTAAGTTTAGTTCGTCAATAGCTATGCGCCTAGTTCGCGCCGGTTTGCATTTGATTAAGAGGAGATGCGTCGTTTTTTTCACGTATTCTTTGCTCTCCCTTTCGCGGTCACATGACTGGACACATTTTACGACCCTACAGTCTATGGTCAGAGAGGATTTTCAGCCGTAAGTACACTTGGTTTCGCTCTGACAAAGGGCTAACGCTCGAAACGTCAGCAAAGTTGATATCTCTTTTGAAGTTCACTTTTTGACTTGCGGCGTTCCTGTCTGCGCTTGTACATACTGTCACATTCCACACTACGCTTTTATTTTGCGCTCATATCTTTTACAGTTTGTTTTGCGTCTGGTATAATTCTGCTTGGATTTGCAAAAGCATGTATGTCCACTAGATTTTCATCGGAAGCCGGGCATCACCCGCTTTCGTTCACGTTTCGCAGCCAGGTTTATATCCTCAACTCGGTTACTGGACTGAAACCTTTAGGGGGTATGGCTGGAGGCTTGGGAAGGGGTGCAACTGACATAGCTGACCGCTGACCGCTAGGCTTTCATTTAAAGGTGGACATCGGTCCTGACCACCTTGACTCTTGACTGGGGGGGGGGCTTGGGGGCTGGTAAGGCTGGCTGTCGGATTTAGCCTAGGAATAAATTTATTACAGGGTTGGTGCCTAACACCTGAGAATACACAGTTTAGGTTTTGGGTCCTCTAACCAATTGGTGCTCGCTCTCTAGTTTAGCTTCTCGGGAGAGGCCTAGAGCTCATTTTGACGTTTTAGGTCAGGGTCATATCCTTTCACAGTGCAGTCTATGGACTAGGTCACGATGGTTATTGAGTTTTCGAAGTCCTAGCAGATTCATCCAGATATCAGTTGAGATTATTCCAGTGGAAAACTTTGGAGTGCGCTTTCAAAGTGGAAAGTAACTTTGTACATCGCATGTAAAATAATTTTAATATTATTGAACAAAAACGCCATGGAATAACATGATGCGCAAAGACACTGAATAAACAAAATCGGTTTTTTTTCTCGACAAACGAGTCAAGATACACATTCAAACAGGGATATCGAGTGCAACTTGACCAACAGTTCTAGATTATACCATGCGTATTCAAGTATAAAGCCTAAATATTTCCTTTCAAAATATTGTAACATCAATAACATGCCAGAGTGAAGTTACACATAACAAAAGATTATTGGGTGCGTTACAATGTTAATTATAGTATTTAATAGTTAGTAGAGAAATGTGTAATCTTTTGTAAGTATAAAACCTTTTAAAATTTTTACATCTGGAGGTAAAATAATGTAAAACTCCTTGAATATGCTCTTTGGTTCTTCTAAACCCGGCACTACCTAAGCAATCTGTTGAAAATCCCATGTTATAGTTTTTTGTCAGGTCGCTGTTTTTCGGCTTATCGACAGTGAGTGGAACACAGTATGGATTTTCGCCAATGAATTCTTCAATAGGAAAATTTTTATATAAAAACAAAAAATACTTAAAAATGAAATAGAAAACTGGAAGTTTTCAAACCGACTCCGACGCAGCCCAATGCCTTAGAATTCATTTTTTTTTTGAGAAATGACTGTTGAAACTGTTATTGTAAGCTGTTACATATGCTGATACACAGCCACAAACTGTCACCTTACCCGAGAGAGATATGGTAACGTGGAAAGATAGTTTCTTTAGGAGAATGATTAGTTGAAATGTGGCTTTTCTGATACACAACCAAAAAAATCCCCTTACCCGAGAGAGACTTTAAGTTGTTCAATTTAAATCATCCTATTAAGCCACAACGAAACTAGAGGAGGTGAAGCTACATCCCTACCTTGTGGCACTAGTTTTCCAGCGATCTCATATGACTTGTCCAAGGTGCAACTGAACATTGGGAAGGGTGGATACAGCCTCATGCTCCCCCTGATAACAAGGGTTACGTATTTGAGCTGAGACAGGTCATCCCTGATGAAGCAAATTGACACTAGTATAGCCTCAGAGCTTTCTACTAACCTTATTCCGATCACTCGTTTCATTTCATTCCCTGAATATCGTTTAGTGTGTTTGGACATTTTACTTTTGGAATGCCATAATCTTTACCTGGGTGTCTCTACAGGCAGTCAGTTATAAACGACCTCTTGGTACCAACTACTCTGGGGTAACCTGCGGTGAATTTAGGGCAGTGAAGGGGCTAACAACCGACATGCGCTTAAGATGCTCCAGGTTACGGAAATAGAGGAAGGTTCTAGATTTGTGAACCACCTGGCTCGAAAACAGACGCCACATGTCCAGGTGCTATTGACCAAGTGTGAGGTGAAGATGGCTGGCAATTGACTAGGATTCCTTTTGGGTCTTCATGGACCGAGTTTAAGTTGTTTCAAGTACAGAGAAACATAGATGATAAAAATCTAGTCATCTCCAATCAACATGTATCGATATTTTCTAATGGCCAAACACTTTCACTAAAGCATCTCTAAACCAATCTCAAGCAAGCAAGATGTGTTAATATTTCCCGTTTTTCCAGCCAATCAGAGCACAGGGCTCGTCAAGTAAAGTCAAGCATATATCATATCGAAAGCGAGAATGATTTGCAATTGAGCATCTCACCATTCAAGTTCGTTTTTGCCACCGTAAACTTCTTTGACTTCATCCTGGCATTTCCTTTGCCACTCAGGGTATAAGGCAAGGTTGTACGGTGTCTAGGAAATTGCTTTGTGGTAGAAAAGAAAGGAAAAGTCAGCCATGACACCGAATATCTCTCTTAAACACTGCATTCTTTTCAGCTTGGACCATCATTGCCATTATTTATAATGTAAATAGACACTATCATTGACGAACACTGAACCAAGAGTGGGTATTTGACAAGTGTTTCCTTATATCAGCTGCGCAAATTAAAGTCTTGAGGGTGTCGTTTAACTGATTACCGCTAAGACCTTTGCTTCCTCTCGCTTCCTGTTACTTCCTGTTAGATCTGGCCAATACAATCCATACTCCTTCAGAACTGGTTTCCGATCCAGTTTTGCGATATTATCAACCTTCGCATTGGTGCCAACGTTACCAGCATATTTAGCGCGAATGACAAAATTCGGTTACTTAAAACCACGCACGATTAAAACCATAATGGTCCAAGTCTATAATCGCTTTCTAGCAGGAAAGGCTCAAACACATACTGTTTGGGGTGGCACATTTTAATACAATCCAAACTGTGAAATATTCTACCCATCTGCAGGATGATATTTTGTGGATCAGCCTGAAAACTTATCATATAAGTGAAAAAAACAGCTCTTATTACCGGCAGCCACTGTATCTGGACCTGCCGCGAAAAATGTCACTACCTCCACTTGTATCGCTTCATCGGATAAGCCTTTTCTGTCTTCATCCTACGAAAAAACCGCAGAGAGTATTTAATCAACCAACTTCTTGAGCTCCTTGATAACTTAATCAGAGACATTTCTACAACGAAGAAAAAAAAAATAGATAATTAAGACGACGGTTTAAGTGCACCTGATCACCTTCGCTGCAAGCTCGATGCGAACCATATCCACTTTTCATACGTTCTCCTGTAGAGCCTTCCTTCTGTTTCGTTTTATTTCCTCAGCCTTATGATGAGCTGCAGTGCAGTTACGGTAAAACCCTCTTCCATCTCTTGTCCACCTGAAAATCCAGTCTGGGTGTAGCATGGGTGTACTAAAAACAGATGACAGATAATCAAATAACTCACTCTGTCTGTTAGACGATTGGGGATGTGGTGCTGGTTTAATTTGTCACTGAAATAAAGGTTATAGGGCCGGTTACTTACACGTGGTATAACCCAAACCACGGTTTTGTGTTATCAGCGGGTCTCAGGCTTTCTCTTTGAGAGGGTCGATTTCATTAAATAAAAATCCTTCCACTGTTAGCTTTCAGTCCTCTTGACACTGTTCACAAAACTAAATGTTCAGATAAAAGGTCCAGCTGAATTAAAAATTTTATTAGGACGTGGCTTAGTTAAACAGCGACTAAACTGTGTTGAAATAACCGGCCATAAAGTTTGGTACTCACATCAGCCTTTTGATGAGAGCTTTGGAAATTTCAGTGATACCTCTTGTAAATGTATCTTGTGTCTTGTTCAGAAAAAGCAAATTGGTCAATAAAACTTGACAACCTTTTCATTGTAAGTAGGTTATGATATGTTGATTTTAAGTGAACGATATGAAACAACATCTAATTCACAGATATTCCCAATTTCCACATTAGATAACTAGCTCGAGGCCACAACTAGTTTATGCATGACTTAAAAGCCAAAAAAGCACGTGTGTTTGATATCGCCAGTCAGCTGCTGAACGTCACTCGCCTTTCGCGCCACTCGCTCAAGTTGATCCATGATCGGCAAAGCTTTTATTACTCTCAATCCAAGGTAGGTTGCAGGAATTTTCCCGGATAACGGCCGCCGAAACACAGAAAAATTCGTATCGCTCACAGACAGCGACGTTCAAATTTAACATGAAGGGGCAGAAAATCAATATACGAAAAGAAAAACCGAAAGTTACTCGGTGGCTTCGGTAA